CTGGACCTCAGTGTCCAGGCAGAATGATGGGGGTGGAGACACTCCTTCAAGTATACTGGGCCAAAAAATTTATCACCCCAAGGGCAGTGAGAGTAGGTGCCTGGGGTGAGTCCTGAGGGCCAGATAAAGAAGTTTGGAGGGCCACCTTTGGTCCCAAGCCCTGAGATTTCCCACCCCTCATTTACGATTTTTATGTAATTACATAATATATATTCTGCCATTTGCATAAGGGCAGTTTACAGCAGGAATACAGATTATAGAAAACTCACAATCCTTAAAAACATATAACACGTCAGAGAAGAACAATTATTGAGAACAGCAGGGGCAGTCAGGTCTCTTTGCCTTCAAATGCCTTCCAGGAGCAGGAGCATAGCTGCCTAAAACTATAAAGAGGTGGAGCCAGATGCACCTCAGGGAGAATTCCACATGCAAGGAGCCACCACTGAAAAGGCCCTATTACCCGACCTTCCTCATATTGACCATCACCTCATATGCTGATCTTAGAGCATGAGCATCTTGATATATGGAGACCAAGTAACTAAAGAGTCAAGGCTACTCTTCTCTGTTCTTTAAATATTTCAATATTAATCCATAGAATGGGAGGTTTATATTTAAAAGGAACTGAAACCAAAATAAAGGCTTACATTTCTTTAAAAGGACTTAAAAGTGATCAAAGAATATGATCTCAGAACCAAAAGCACATTCTATAGAGACCTCTTAGATAACAATTTTCTTGGCAAAAGGTCTTTACAGGTACACAAACACCACTTTTATTTTCTGCAAGCTAATGATATTGCCGACCTTATCTGTTGTGACAGAGGTGGAAACTGCGAAGAGAGGGCTTTTCAACCAATTCTAACAAAAATGCCAGGTGAAATGAAGTTATCTTAAAGGTCACTTTGGAAAACGTGAGATGAGGCTTCCATCAGGTTTGCTCTTGTCATTTCCACAAACATTTGATCTTCAGCTAAACACAAAACTTAACACCATACAAATACTCACCGGTATTGATCAGCAACAAGATGTTCGGAGACAGGGAGGGAAAGCAAGCAGAGAGATGACATTTGGGACTTTTAAATAATTTATCTGATTGTTTACTGCTATGGGAGAATTTGTGGGAAGGGAGCTTAGAGGGATGGAAGTGAGCTGGAGCAGGGGATCAAGGAGAAACATGATTGCTGTGCCTGTCTCAAATGTACAGTGGTACCTCGGGTTACATATGCTTCAGGTTACAGACGCTTCAGGTTACAGACTCCTCTAACCCAGAAATATTACCTCAGGTTAAGAACTTTGCTTCAGGATGAGAACAGAAATCGTGTTCCAGTAGCATGGCAGCAGCAGGAGGCCCCATTAGCTAAAGTGGTGCTTCAGGTTAAGAACAGTTTCAGGTTAAGAACGGACCTCCAGAATGAATTAAGTTCTTAATCTGAGCTACCAATGTAGTACAAGCTTTATCAAACTTCCCCAAATTTGTTCACAGGCCAATGGGGCCTGGGGGGGTGGTCTTCAATTTAGAGGTTGGAAACCTCACACTCCAAAGACAAATGTGATTCCCCATGCTTCTCTGTCTGGCCCTTGAGACTCCCCATGGGTAGTGATGTTAAATTCCTGAGAATAATCTTTTGGAGAATATTCTCAAGAATATTCTTGATTAATGAGGTGTGTATAGCGGGACACGGGTGGCGTTGTGGGTTAAACCACAGAGCCTAGGACTTGACGACCAGAAGGTCGGTGGTTCGAATCCCCGCGACGGGGTGAGCCCCCGTTGTTTGGTCCCTGCTCCTGCCAACCTAGCAGTTTGAAAGCACGTCAAAGTGCAAGTAGATAAATAGGTACTGCTCTGGCGGGAAGGTAAACGGCGTTTCCGTGCGCTGCTCTGATTCGCCAGAAGCGGCTTAGTCATGCTGGCCACATGACCCGGAAGCTGTACGCCGGCTCTCTTGGCCAATAAAGCGAGATGAGTGCCGCAACCCCAGAGTCGGTCACAACTGGACCTAGTATACCAGTATTACAACACTTCTGGCTGTGGGTAAGTTTAGTACTACGTGTCTCCATGGAATCTGCTTGATCTGTGCAGAAAGTGGCTTCCTGAAACTATGAACAGCTACAGCAGTTTATTTGTTTATTTATTGTGCTTGTTAAACTTCCACCTCACCCTTCTGCTGCAGCACAGCAGTTTTCAACAATAACAGTAGAAAATAGAAGTAAAGAGGGAAGGGAAATGGAGAGGAGACCAAAGCATTTCAATAAAATGTAAAAGTAAAAACACATCCGGCTGGGTTAAAGAAACAAAGATGGAGATTCCAAGGCAAAATAGCGGGGTGGGGCAGAAATTAAGGTCCAGAAATCCAAAATGGAGCAGGGGATGTGAAATGTTCTTTTCTCCTGCGTGTCTTTGAATGACCACAGCTCAGCTGTAATGAGTAAGAAGAAAATCCCAAAGATTTTTCAGACACTGCTGCTGCAAAGTATGTTGATGGCAGCCAGACAGCTGTAATAGACCAACTTAAAAAACATGATTGCATAATTCCATTCTTAGCTAGGAAATGAGCAATTTGAAAACAGGCAGCACATGCTTTAACCTTTTACATGACTGCCATCCCCTTTAATCATATTGTTGTAATTTGAAAGCCTGTTTAATGGAAGACTTGAAATGTCGTAAGGCTGGGCAATCTCCATGTTAAATCCAGACAGTGACTAGTTTTCATGGTTGAGGTAGGAAGGTTGAGTGCTTAACGAATGAAGCTGCATCAAACCTTCAAATTCCAAGAATCACAGAGTTGGAAGCAACCCCAAAGAGCATCAAGTCCAACCCCCTGCAATGCAGGAATCTCAACTAAAGCATCCATGACAGATGGTCATCCAACCTCTGCTTGAAAACCTTCAATGAAGTAGAGTCCACAACCTCCCATGGGAGACCATTCCACTGTCGAATAATAATAATAATAATAATAATAATAATAATAATAATAAATTTTATTTATATCCTGCCCTCCCCAGCCGAAGCTGGGCTCAGGGCGGCTAACAACAATCAAAATAATCCAACGTTCTAAAAACATTTCATTATAAAAATTAATTAAAATCAAATTGGTGGCAACCATTAAGCAAAATTCTGTGCAGATTGCCACAGGAGGGGGTCAGGCTGCGCCCTGACCAAAGGCCTGGTGGAACAGCTGTGTCTTGCAGGCCCTGCGGAAAGATGTGAGGTCCCGCAGGGCCCTAGTCTCTTGTGACAGAGCGTTCCACCAGATTGGAGCTGCGGCCGAGAAAGCCCTGGCTCTAGTTGAGGCCAGCCTAACCTCTCTGTGGCCTGGGATCTTCAGGATGTTTTTATTTGCAGACCGTAAGTTCCTCTGTGGGACATACCAGGAGAGGTGGTCCCGTAGGTATGAGGGTCCTAGGCCGTATAGGGCTTTAAAGGTTAAAACCAGCACCTTAAACCTGATCTTGTACTCCACCGGGAGCCAGTGCAGTTGGTATAGTACCAGATGAATGTGATCACGCAGCGAAGACCCCATAAGGAGTCTCACCGCGGCATTCTGCACCCGCTGGAGTTTCTGGGTCAGTCTCAAGGGCAGCCCCACGTAGAGCGAGTTACAATAATCCAGTCTGGAGGTGACCGTCGCATGGATCACAGTGGCTAGCAATTACCATCATAAAGTTCTACCTGATGTTCAGATGGAATCTCCTTTCTTGTAACTTGAATCCATTGGTTTGGAGCAGGATCTAACAAGCTTGCTCCATCTTCCATGTGACATCCCTTTAGGTATTTGAAGATGGCTATCATATCACTTCTTGGTATCCTCTTGTCCAGGCTAAACATACCCAACTCCCTCAACCGTTCCTCATAATGCCTGGCTTCCAGACCCTTCACCATTTTGGTAGCCCTCCTCTACACACTTTCCAGCTTGTCGATATCCTTCTTAAATTGTGGCACCCAGAACCTGGACACAGTACTTCAAGTGTGGTCTGACCAAGACAGAATAGAGCAGTATTATGACTTGATCTGAATACTATACTTCTGATGGTGCAGCCTAGAATAACATTACCTTTTTTGCTGCTGCATTACACAGTGGACTCATGCAAAGCTTGTGGTCTACTAAGCCTCCAGATCCTTTTCACATGTACTACTGCCAAGTCAGGTGTCCCCCATCTTCGATTTGTGCAGCTGGTTCTTCCTGCCTAAGAGTAGAATGTGACATTTTTCCCTATTGAAATTTATTTCATTAGCTGTGGTCCAGTTCTCCAACCTGTTAAGGTCATCTTGAATCCTAACTCTGTCTACAGTGACATTAGCTACCCCTCCCGGTTTGGTGTCATCTGCAAATTGGATGAGCATCTCCTCAATATCTTTATCCAAGTCATTTATAAAGATGTTGAACAACAAGACCCAGACAGAACCCTGTGGCACCTCACTTTTCATATTTCCTAGGATGATGAGGAACCATGAGTGAGTTTGGGTTAGTGGGTCTCTTTGGGTTTGGTCAGTCAAGCAGCAACAGAGAATCTCTTGAAATATCTAAACTCCATGGCTTGAAATTATCTCTAGTTGCACTAGTAAAGTTCAGAGTTCTGCTATACTTGTAACCTTTTCCAGTTAATGATCATATTTAGCTGTGTAAGTTCTAAGAACATCTCCAATGTGTTTTGGGAGGTTGAAGCTAGCTCTGTTTTTTTACCAAAAGATACTTAGACTAATGTTTTTGGCGTGCCATCGTCTCGTGAATTTGAAAACAACACACTGTGTACACTCGCAGTGCCTCTTCTATTTTGAGAAAATATTCACCAATCTACAGAATTCCCTAATGTTCCTAATGCACATTAGGTAGCAGGAGATTTCGCACAAACAGGTGCTAGCAATTTTAAGTGCCTATTTTTCTTGTTCAAACAGCATAGGGTATAATTAAAATTTAAACTCATTTCAGAAGTTGTGTATCTTCATGAGATATGTAAAGTTTGCAGTTTCCACAAGTTTGTCTAGGTGTTTTGTTGTTGTAGTTTTTTGGCTAGCTCAATTGGTAGAGCTCTGGATCTCAAGGTTGTGGGTTCAAGCCCCACGTTGGGCAAAAGATTCCTGCATTGCAGGGGGCTGGACTAAATGACCCTTACGGTCCTTTCCAACTCTACGATTCTATGATAAGCTGAGCTTTTTTTCCCCTTGGAAGAATGCCTACTCTTTGTAGTACCAGCAGGAATATAGAAAGGCACCTTATGCCAAGTTAGACGGATGGTCCATGATACAAAATGGCTGCTTTGGGTATGTGGCGTAACACAAGAAGCCTACCAGTATACCTGAAGGAGCGTCTCCACCCCCCATTGTTCAGCCCGGACACTGAGATCCAGTTCCGAGGGCCTTCTGGCAGTTCCCTCACTGTGAGAAGTGAGGTTGCAGGGAACCAGGCACAAGACTTTTTTGGTAGTGGCACCCACCCTGTGGAATGCCCTCCCATCAGATGTCAAGAAAATAAACTATCTGACTTTTAGAAGACATCTGAAGGCAGCCCTGTTTAGGGAAGTTTTTAATGTCTAATGTTTTATTGTATTTTTAATATTTTGTTGGAAGCCACCCAGAGTGGCTGGGGAAACCCAACCAGATGGATAGGGTATAAATAAATTTTACTATCATCATTATTACTACTACTACTACTACTACTACTACACCTAAAGAAGCAGAGAGAGAGAGACAGGACTGAAAAATGGTGAGGGCACCTCTCCACTAGCCATGCCATCACTTGGATGGGTTGGGAAGGCAGAGAGAAGCTCTTTGTGTCCCTTCTCTGTTCAGAACAAAGATGTGAGGGTTGGCATCCAATCCTGGCACCTAGCGAAATTATTTATGTATTCATTTCATGAAATTTATACACTGCTTGACTGTAAAAACAAACAAAAAAGCAACAACCCTCCAAGCAGTTTACAAATGAGTGAGGCAATAAAATTGCGGGTAAAAACAGTTAAAAACAACTATTTAGAACATACAAAAGATTAAGATCAGCAATAAACAAAAAACACTCTCCACATGTCTGGGTAGACTTAGAGTGGGTAGACGGAAACAGGTTTTTAGCAGGATGGCTGTAGGCAAGGGAGTTCCAAAGTGTATTTGCTTCCCCACTAAACAAGTGATTTTTTACAAAGATGGATGGGGTATTATGTGGCACCTGTAACAGTGCCAGTTTTGCGGATCAAAGTGGTCAAGTGGGCATATATGGGGTAAGGTGCTCTCACAGGTAAACTGCCTGCCCCCGCCCCCAAGATGTAATGGGCTCAATTTTATATACAGTGGTACCTCGGGTTACATACACTTCAGGTTACATACGCTTCAGGTTACAGACTCCACTAACTCAGAAACAGTGCTTCAGGTTAAGAACTTTGCTTCAGGATGAGAACAGAAATTGTGCTCCGGCAGCGCGGTGGCAGCAGGAGGCCCCATTAGCTAAAGAGGTGCTTCAGGTTAAGAACAGTTTCAGGTTAATAACGGACCTCCAGAACAAATTAAGTACTTAACCCGAAGTACCACTGTATATATCAATGCTCTGGACTCAAATAGTCGGCCACCCTCTGCTAGATTTAATGTGGGCATATGGAAGCAGGTGCTGATTTCAGTGTAAGAGATGCCAAACCAGTGCAAACAGGAAAGGAACAGGAAGAGCCAACCATGCATTGTGAATTTCTGAGGGGGTATTTGCTAACCTCTTTTGTGCGTGCCATAGGAAGTAGCAGTGGGCACCCGGGCACCCGTAGGTGTTGCATTGGCAATCCTCTCTGTCCAAGGTCAACAAACAAGCTTTGTGGTTAAAGAGGGATTTGAATTCAGTCCCAAAGCCAAATTTAACCCTCTAGCCACTACAGGGCACTGCTTTTTTAAAAAAAAACAACATTGAGGAGAGGAACAACACCAATGTAACTGCCCCTTGCTCCTCAGAAAGGTTAATCTCTTAAACTGTTTTATGGGAAGAGTTGGGGAGACCATGGTAAACCATGTTTCTGAGGTACATATCTGACTTAGCTGGTACTGGATTTTCAAATCTAGAAAGAGTTGCCTCTGGCAATAATAACATTGGAGTCTGCGGTGTGCATGCATCTTTTAAGCTCCCAGTTTCTGAAAGGGCTCAGATAAGATTACCAGCTGACAGAAACAGTTCTTCACAGGCATGGCAAGTAGCGATACAGGGCTCCACGGAGCAGTATTTTACTGAAATGAATTCATCACAGAAAACGTATTTCTTCATTCAGTGCCTCCAGTTCTGTAAACCCTTTTCCACATGAGTGCAGCTACAGGGAGCTCAGCAGAGGAAGCAGCAGCTAAGGAGCTGCTTTGGTGGTAAAAGAGTGACCTGGCTTCTTGGGACTGGTTCGCACATGACTGTTCTTGCCTTGGCTGCTGCAACATCAAGTGGTTAATCGCACATACGAAGCGGTCCTAATGGAAGATGCAGTCTCTCACCTCAAATGCAATGCTTTGCAATTAAAATTTGAACATACCCATTGCAAACTGGAACCAAACCACCCTAGAATCAGTTCTAGGTTTAAAAGGCTCTGGTGCTACATTGGCCTTCCTTCTAGTCTCAACCCCTTTGCAAATAATAATAATAATAATAATAATAATAGGGGATGGTCACTAATAGCGATGCTGGGGAATTCTGATGAAAACAGCTGTGCAAATTGCCAGCATTTGCTTGTTCCTCTCATGTTCAGAATGGAAACTAATCTAGCAAATAGGATCAGTAATCGCTGCTGCTGTTTTCAGTCTGCAAGCAATACATAACAATATGTGACTGATTATTATTATTATTACCAATTTGCACTGCCTTTCCTTCGCATTAAAATGAATAGTGTGGAATAATGTAATGACAACAAAATTAACTGTGCAATCAATTATGTAAAATTTCGCCATCGTGGAAAGCAGGGTGAATAATGAAGTTTTTGTCAGAAGAAGCCAAACTGCAGCAAAATGGAAACAGCACTGCATGCAACAAATGCCAGGCAGAAAGGAAATTGGTGTCTTCTTACTCCTTTACTCACTAGAGCAGAGCTTTCCAAACTGTGTATCGTGACACGTTAGTGTGCTGGCTGCAGTGCGTAGGTGTGTTGTGCAACCACTCCTCTGGTTTGCTAGTAAAACTGAATTACTGTGTTGTGAAATGATACGTGTCTAAAAAATGTACCACCAACAGGAAAAGTTTGAAAAGCTCTGCCCAGAGTCATTTGTTAATAAGCCACCTGTAATTTCCTGTTTTGATTAATGTGTGTGTCTTTGTTTCTCAATCTGATCCTTCTACATGGTTTTGTATGCATTGTAGTATTTTATGCATTGCAACTTGCTGCTGTTTTTGTTGATTATAGTTTCATAATTATTTATTGTAACTGCTGAGAGTGAAGTTGTTTAATTATTTCCTGATATTTAATTTTATTGTGTACTGTTTTATTCTAATGAATTATTGAAGAATACTTTTTATAGTTTTTACTATGACCTTTTTTGTATTGCATCAGATTGCTATAAGGTCTGTGATCGTTGTTTCTTCAGCTTGTAAATCGCCTTGTGTCTAGTAATATAGAAAGGTGGTATGCAAATTAAAAGTGAAATGAAAATACAGTGGTACCTCGGGTTACATATGCTTCAGGTTACATACGCTTCAGGTTACAGACTCCGCTAACCCAGAAATAGTACCTCGGGTTAAGAACTTTGCTTCAGGATGAGAACAGAAATCGTGCAGCGGCAGCGGGAGGCCCCATTAGCTAAAGTGGTACCTCAGGTTAAGAACAGTTTCAGGTTAAGAACAGACCTCCGGAACAAATTAAGTACTTAACCCGAGGTACCACTGTAAAACGAAAACTGTTTCCCAACCTGAATAAGGAGGTAGAGTAGTTTACAAATCCCAGGCTTCCCTGCTGCTATTTCCTACAGCATCGTACATTTCTAAATTAGAAAAGTAGCCAACAAGTGTAATCCATGCGTTTCTAATAGTAACAAAACAGACTTGCATTGCTTGCAAGCCCTGTCTTAGTTCCATCGAAAATTTGACCATGGTCAAATATTTCCAAATAGCCAATCAGCAAACAACTGATACGATTTAACTGTTGGTGAATTAGACTCCTAACCTTAAACAAAGAAAGATACTTGTAGTGCAGTCACAAGCAACCTAGAAAGCTGTCTTAAATAGATCTGCCTAGTTCAGTGCTGCCTACATTGGCAAGCAGTCGTTCTCTGGGTTATCAGACAGGGAACATTCTCAGCCCTACCTGGGAGGTGCCAGGAATTGAACCTGTGACCTTCTGCAGATTTCTACCACTTATATGCAGAATTCATCATATGAAAGGCTAGGCTGGATGAATCCCTAGCAGGAATTAAGATTGCCGGAAGAAATATCAACAACCTCAGATATGCAGATGACACAACCTTGATGGCAGAAAGTGAGGAGGAATTAAAGAACCTTTTGATGAGGGTGAAAGAGGAGAGTGCAAAATATGGTCTGAAGCTCAACATCAAAAAAACAAAGATCATGGCCACTGGTCACATCACCTCCTGGCAAATAGAAGGGGAAGAAATGGAGGCAGGGAGAGATTTTACTTTCTTGGGCTCCATGATCACTGCAGATGGTGACAGCAGCCACAAAAGTAAAAGACGCCCGATTCTTGGGAGAAAAGCAATGACAAACCTAGACAGCATCTTAAAAAGCAGAGACATCACCTTGCCAACAAAGGTCCGTATCGTTAAAGCCATGGTTTTCCCAGTAGCAATGTATGGAAGTGAGAGCTGGACCATAAAAAAGGCTGATCGCTGAAGAATTGATGCTTTTGAATTATGGTGCTGGAGGAGACTCTTGAGAGTCCCATGGACTGCAAGAAGATCAAACCTATCCATTCTTAAGGAAATCAGCCCTGGGTGCTCACTGGAAGGACAGATCATGAAGCTGAGGCTCCAATACTTTGGCCACCTCATGAGAAGAGAAGGCTCCCTGGAAAAGACCCTAATGTTGGAAAAGATGGAGGGCACAAGGAGAAGGGGACGACAGAGGACAAGATGGTTGGACAGTGTTCTCGAAGCTACGAACATGAGTTTGACCAAACTGC